TTAATATTATCTGTTATACATTTTTGAATATTAATTATTTATTGATTAATAAAATTGTTATATTTCAACTCGACTTTTATTTCATAAAGAAAGGTAGCACGAATTAATAACATTAAATAATTCTTTCGACCCATAGAAAAGGGGGTCGTGACAATACTAAACCGAACGTCAGAAAAACGTATTTTATTTCACCATCTTCGATTAAATACTACACTACATTTTCTGCCATATACGAGTATTCAGTGTCAGTAAACAATATATAAAATGTCTGTAGTTGGTATGCTTTGAAAATAAACTGCAGCAGCACTGAAGGCCAATAAAGGTCCGTGAATACCCTATTGTTATCATTCTCGTTTACCTACCTTTAATGGCCTATGTTTACATGTGAGATATGCTGTTTTATAAATTATATTGTAAGAGTTAGTCGCTATACAAGTTATTCTACATAATCAGAGCTGTCACCTATCAGTGAGATTTAAATCATTTTTTGATTTAAATACATTTTTTGATTTAAATACTTTGATTTTAAATCTTTTTTAAAAAAATGATTTTTGAATTATGATTTAAATCTTTTTAAAAAGTATCTTTGATTTTTTATTTAAAAATTAGATTTAAATCTTTTTAAAACTATTTACATCTGTTTAAAACGATTTAAATCTTTTTAAAACGATTTAAATCTTTCTGAAATGATTTAAATCTGTAAAATGATGCGATCTTTTTAAAATGATTTAAATTTTCTTAAAGATTTAAATCTTTTTTAAGATTTAAATATTTTTAAAACGATTTACATCACCTGATTCGTCAAAATCGTTATCAACCTGTCTATTCCTGAATAATAATCTAGTCAGCATGTCAGTAGGGTTGAATCAGAAAGCCGAGAGAAAAGAAAAACAAAAAATAGTAAAGTGTAACAAATAATTGCAATGACAAAAGATTATTTTTAAGTATGAAATTTTACAATATCCTGAAACTCTTAACATATGTATTTTAAATTTATGCACACTTTTTGACCAGTTCAATAAACACCCTTGGCATAGATAGAGCGAATTAATTACATTTTTTATTTCTTTGCCTGATTCATCCACACATTTTTCAAAAAAATTAACCCAAACGCGCTCACTTTGGTTATTTATTTACTCGCAATAACTTCACGTTGAGAGAAGAACTCTTTTAATTTAACCCACTCAATTTCATTATTCATAGCCGGGAAATTTTGAAAATGAAATGCATTTTTCCGGGAGAGTCTCTTAAGTACAGAAAAAAACATATTTTTAAAGAGTCTGATGTATGTGCATCTATGTGGGGTGTTTATGTATGTATGACATTAAGCACGTTAACTTAAGGAAGAGTTGAGGGATTTAAGTGATTTTTCAGAAAAAAAATCACTTTTCTTAAAAACTAGGTCTCCATTGTTTTGTGGCATCATAGGCATACCAAAAGTATCTTTTAAAGGGTTGAAAAATTTTTATTTACCAATTGACATGACATTTTTAAATAACAATTTTCATAACTATAGATATCAATGCTGCATAAATCCTTAAAAATATTATCTTGATTATTTAAAATTAATATTTCCGTAAGAATTGCATTGGGCTAATAACGATAAAAAATAAATACGAGAAAAGTTGATCGAGTTTTGCGTTTTATTTATGAGAAAATCACATTACTTAAGTATTCATTATCTTTGGCCTACCGAAAGTATTTTTTAAAGAGTTACCCAAATCTATAAAAAGATTTAAATCTTTCGAAAAGATTTAAATCTTTCCTAAAATGATTTAAATCTTTCGAAAAGATGTAAATCTTTCGAAAAGGTTTAAATCTTTCCTAAAATGATTTAAATTGTAAAAAAGATTTAAATCTAAAAAAGATTTTTGATTTAAATCTTTATTTTTAAAAAATCGATCTTTGATTTAAATAATTTGTTCAAATGTAAATGATTTATGATCTTTGATTTAAATCGTTTTTAAAATGATCTTAAACAGCTCTGTACATAATCAGTTTGTTAAAAAAGTTTTTAAATTAAAACCAATTTAAATTTAAAATTTGAAATGTGTACGTCATCGGGAATAGACCAATCAGCTTGCGTCGAAGTTTTTTTGTTATACAGAACCAAGCCAACGAACAAACCGACACACAGAATGTCGAAGAGAATGCACATCTAAGTGACACTTAAAATTGACACCACCTAGTTTGTCAGCTGGATTTATAAAAGTTGATTTGAGTATTTTACCAATTGTAAACCAAGATATGATTACCGAGATGATTACTGCATTTTTTAACAATATCAGTTTATAAAAGACACAAAGGTATGTAAGGCTTTATTTATAATTTGCTTTAATAGTAGTTACAGTTTATATGGAGCAATACACCTTATAGTAAAACATATTTATTAGTCATTAGGGTTGTCGAACAGTAACAGTTTTTCAACAATAATCATTTTATTTACCCTATACTTCATTTATATTTATAAGAAAAATATATTTTTCGACGTTTAAAGCTGTGCTGTTGGAATTATTTCTATAATTAGAAGTAAAAGTATAATTATGTATTACCTGAGAAATAGCAAATTTGTTATTGTATAAAACGAGTTCATACAATTTGCCTACTTTAAAAATTAAAACTATATAACATTTAAAACTATTTAGAAGGGTAGTGCACATGTATTTACTGTAATACTATTTTTATTTGGTCGAGGATTACCTACTTGTTACATGTCTTGTAAATAATTGTAATATAAGTACATTTTTGTGAATGAATGACTACTTTTTGTAAATATACAAACTCTTTCCGTTACAACTATTATACACATGTCTAGTATTTAAATGAATAAATCTACTATAATATTTTATGAAATAATTTGGAACATAGAAAAGTAATAAAAATTGAAAAAAATAGGAATCCATAAAAATGTACTCTTGAAAATACTAAAAAATTCATCTCATTATTAAATATTTTATTATTTTTAGATCTGCCAAGCAAGTATATGGAGATAATGCGATTTCCCATGAATAGCTTGAAAAAAGGAGATATTTGCCCAGTAAACGGAATATTTACACATGAACATAAAGTATTTTGCATTGTTTCTTCCACATTTGAAGTAAATAATGAAGTCGATAACAAGTTGAATTTGATAATGAATCTTTAGAGGACATTTTAATTTGACATCTCCATTATTGTTAGGGCTTGTGTATATATTTTTTATTATTTGTAAATAAAGTGTTTTTTACTTCGTTTATCTTATTCAGTTATTTTTATTTTTTAATAATAGGTTAATAAATAAAATTTTCACAGATTTTACATTTTTGTTTATATACAATTATTATAATCTCTAAAATGTGATAAATGAATCAAAAAAAAAACAGTTTATTAAATTATTTGGTATTTAGTCTTACAAAATGAGTTCTTTTAAGTTAAAAATACCACTAATTCACACAGAAATGTAAAAGGTTTATGTAAGCTACACTTTCCTTCTCATAAATATTGAGGATTTTAAAAACACTGTTGGGCAATCTTAAATATACCTTCGGTTTATTTTCAATTTTGAGAGTTCATTGGTTTTGAAGATCCTGCTCATTATTAAGTCCCTTTGAATCAGATATTAAAGATATTTCTTCCAATTCAGATAAAACTTTACTATATTTAAAACTTTTAGGAGGTTTCGAGTCAGGTTCTTGCAGAAGGGGTTTTAGGATATACTACAATGGTAGATAATTGAATAATTAAATTACAATAAAACATTTTTATTTTAATAAAGAGTATAGATACAAACCACAACAAAATAATTTGTTCCTTGAAGCGTTTCTGTGTAATTATAATAATTTTCTTCTTTTCATATTTCTAGCAATACTAATAAATATTTTTAATAATGAAAATGTAAAATGTAAATCATTATCACATCTTGGGAGGAAACATTTTTTCATACTCATAATATTTATAAAAACATCAAACTTGTATAATTATCGATTGATAACACAAAAATTTCTGATTCACAGATGATACATGCAGTGCTGCCGCATTTCCATTTTCTTGTTTATTAGTTGTCTTTTTTTAAAACAATGAAACTATAAATATGGTGAAAGTTTAAACATAAATAATACTTTTAAAAACATTTGATATTTTATATTTAAAAGATATTTGTTTAACGATATTTTAGAAGTCTAAAAGTAAGACGGTGCACACAAACGAACGTATATTACTTTTCGTATACCGTCTAACTGGCAACGTTGTGTGGCTAATTCCTATTCCCGGTGACGTCATAAATTTAAAAAAATTAATAACTTGGGCAAATGAATAGATAAAAAAAAATTTTAATGTATCTTTATTTTGAACTCTATTATTCATAAAAAAAATTTTTGAACATGCCCCATTGTGTACGTGTAAATTGTATTTAGAAAATATGCTGTTTTTGATTTGTTAAAATACATGAAAATGAAAATGTATTTATAGTGACTAAAAGTATTTAAATTAATAGCACAAAAAGTTTACTATCGTATTATTTATGGTCAAATAGTGGATGAATTCATTTCTAATCATTTTCCTTGTCCTAGCAATATTTTATATTATAACTATTGACCTTGTTCTACCCACCCAGTATTCCCATTCATTCCCTTTCCCATTCACATTTATATTAATAGAACCCTGAATATCTTCATGATTTTTCCGATCCTAAAAATAATAAGATCCTTATGTAATTTTCGGTGAATATTAGGTACCTACCTTCTAAATTTGTATAGTTGTCGCTTTTTACAATCTTGGGTTTCGGTTTAAGTAAAATGGTAATTTTAATTTTTATTAACATTTGTTTCAATTGTTCGGCCATTTTAACTAAACGCTGATAGAGGTGATAATAATTACCTGAAACACTTTTTAAAATGCATCACATCCTTAATGCGTCTCTGGTAACAAACTTGAAATTACACAAAATCGCGAAGCCGCGAAAATGTATTCCAAAAATACCGTTCGCTTAATATTTCCAATTGACAGGCAACAATGCACTAGACTTTTGTAGTAGATTAAAATTGGAAAATTCTCAAAATAATTCGCAATCATTTTTCTAATTTAATATCGGGTAGGGTGGGAGAAATATATAATCCACACTTTTTCACTATATTGTTAGTTTAGATTTTATCATTAGGTAAAATTAAAAAATTAAGTAAATCGTTACTTAATTAACAGCTGTCAAAATGGTACGGAAACTTTATTCAGTAATTTTTGTATAGTGTGGAATAAAACGAGTATTTTAAATTATGTGGGTGTTTGTGTATCAAGTTTTTGTGTGTTGCCTATAAGTGAATTTTGAAGAAATGATAAATTATTGCAAAAATGAAACAATAGTTAATGGAACGGTTTTTTGATAGTTAACTTTTAAGTAACTAGTCTCAGCACAATTTCACTCTCTAGTTATATTAAATTTTTTTAAATAATGATAATACCTGCATACCTTTAGTTTTTATATTAACATTATTTTGAAAAATTGCTTGAGAGTTTTTGAAAAGTTATGTCACAATTAATTATCTAATAAGTATCAAAAGAGCTATTTTACAAATATTGTTTGAGTGGTCTTTCAAATGAGAGACTTTTATCCTCCAATTATTTTGATCATTTTATAAGAAGTTAATTTGTAGATGTATTAGTTTATACGCTTCAAATGATTATAATTTAAAAAATAATATTATTTTCGTTCACTTTTTTTATTTAATTACCTAATTATTTTAAAAATAATACTTGATTCAACTAACAATTGGAAAGCAACCAACAAAATTAAAAGGATAAATAAATTACAACGAATTGAATTAAGCTCATTTAAATTATCTTTTTATCACCTATTTATTTTCAATTCCATTAGCTTTTTTATTTGTTATAATTCGTTAAAAAAATGCACACTAATTATTATAAACATTATAAGGGCATGTACATAAACTAATGTACCAATTTCTGTACCTGTATTATTATTCAATAGTATTCGTCAATAATACTATATTATTCAATATTTTTTATTTTCTGATGTTTTCAAAATTTTTGTTCTATGACATATACAGGGTGCAACAAAAATATATACAGTAAATTTGACCACAGTTTCTGAGGTCTAAAATAATTTGATATAAGCTAACTTACTTAAATAAAAAATGGATAGTAAAAAGATACAGGGTGTTAAAGTAGAAAGTTTAGAAGTGATTTTGTGCTCTTACTCTAATACCATAGAGTTGATGGAGTTTAAAATTGTTTTAATTTTATAGGTTTTTAGAAGGGTTCCGCACCCCTGTGACCATCTTCTTTTTTAGACAATGAAATTTAGTTAAAAACAGGACACCACTACAATACTATTACATCTGTTTTTATTTTTTTTTTACTTAGCATTTGTTTATAAAAGCTTTAAGTACTGAGTTATAGGCCCCAGAAGGAAGGTGATATTGAAAAATACCCACAATGAAATTTTTCTAATAATCTTAAACCACTGAATATTTGTTAACAATTTTTTTTAACTATTTTTTCAACATTATTTATAATTATTCCCTTATACACTCAGATGCAAAAAAGTTGATCCAATATATATTTCTCATTTATTGTGACTTTTAAAACTTAGAACTCGTTATATTTGGCATATACATATAGATTTAGAGAAACCCACGTATAAGTACAATTATTTACGAGTATATCTAATATTCCCTCTTACATTTATACCAGATCTAAAACTGACATCTGCAAAAAAAATTCCTCCTCGTTAAAAAATAGGAATGGATCAAATTTTTTTCACCTGAACTAACGATCATCCAATGATTTGTAATATAGTAACAACAAATATTTAGTGGTGTAAGATTAATAAAAAAATTGTGAATATTTTTCCTTTTAGAGCCTATAATTCAGTAATTAAGCCATTTATAAACGAATACTAAAAAAATCAGAACATTTTAGGATTTCAGTGGGTGTTTTTAACTGAATTTCAATGTATAATAAAGTAGGGGGTTTAAGAGGGTGCGGAACTCTTCAAAAAACCTAATTAAAATAATTTTAAACGCTACTGATTCCATTTTATTAGTCACTGCATAATAACATCCCCTGTACATTTTCATAAAAATATGTTAGGCCGTACTAGAGTAAGAGCACAAAAGTCACTTCTAAAAATTTATAATTTAACACCTTGTAACTTTGTTACTATATATTTTGTACGTAAGAAATTTGGCTTAAATTTACATCTTTTGCGCTGTGGAGAGAGCGAATAGAATGTCTTCACCCGGGCATTACTGTCGATGTGGTAGAAGCCTACCAAATGGTCACTTCGCAAAATCGGGCATCCAGGCCTCTCGGCGACGTTATTAACCTGCAGGACTTTGACCTGATCGGTTGACTCCCCTATACAGCCTCCAGCAAGAACCAGTAGGTTTTTGATGAGTTGATAACCTGCAGGAAATTGATGAACTGAGAAGATGGCTGTTTCTAGATACCCCTTAGCGTCAACAAACATGCTTTTTGAGGAGTTAATAACATATAGAACTTTGATGAGCTGGGAAGATGGCTGTCTCTACACACCTTTCAGCGACAACCAACAGGTTTTGACAAGTTGTGAGGCAGGCCCTATATGCTCCTGAAGGATGAACAATGGGCCTTGTGAGATCTAAATGCTGTGGAGTATCTCGCCATCCTTGCCTTGCAGATACAAATATTGTATATCTTTTTGTTACACTGTGTATATAGTATATACAGTCCTACTTTGTTTGTGTTACACTCCATTTGGAAGCTAGTTTTGTTAGTAATTTATTATACAAGATAATAAAGAATATAATTGCAGAGATCTAACGTTAAGAAATACATACTCACAAACAACCAAAACAAAAAACTGTATGTCACGTATTAAATTACTATTAAAATTAGCTTTCAAATGAAGTGTTATTTCTTACAATCCGTTTGAGGAGCTAAAATCAAAAACAAATAAAAATTATCTTTTCAATGTTGGGTCTTAGCTTGGTACTTTTTCTATTTAAACTGTATTGGTTAGAGTAACGGAGCGAAGAGAATGATGTATGACAGTTAAGCATATGATAAAAAGGTGTCTGCCTTGGAATAAGAGCCAATAATCACGGCACGCCTACCAAAAAAATATTTAGTACATCAACCTAATAACTTTTAAAATATTAATATTTTTTGCTCAGTTACTGTGATATTGCTGTTATTAGTCTAGTCAAATATAACAAAATATACAGGGTGTTTCAAAAAGATTGGTCATAAATTATACCACATATTCTTGGGTCAAAAATAGGTCGATTAAACCGTACTTATTTATATACAAAAGTGCACCCAAAAATAGTTACAGGGTGTATAAGATAAAAATTTAAATGAATTTTTTTAACGTTGCTCTTAAACCGTTTGGCATTTTTTCATGAAATTTTATATGACGTGTTAGAATACCATGACTAATAATACCGAGAAAAGGCAATATTTTTTTCTTGATTTTTATAGGGTTTTGGAGGGGGTCACCGCTCTTTTCTCCACTCAACTTTTTTGTAGTATAAAATTTAATTACAAATGAAACGCTACTGGAATGCAACATCCATTTGAAAACTTTTTTGTCTCTTAGTATTTGTTTGTAAAAAGTTTAGTTTAGACGATAGAGCCATTTGAAAAGACAATTTAAAAATATTCGTTGGAAATTCTACGTATGAAAAATATCAAAATCAAGTTTACAAACTAATGTCATCAAAAAAAAAAATTATTTAACAGGTGTTCAAAATTATATTCTCCTCCTGTATACACTTACTATATAGTTTTAACAATGAAAATCGAATTTTGATATTTTTGCATACGTATAATTAACATTGAATATTTTTAAGATGTCATTTTAAGTGGCTGTATCGTCTAAACCAAACATTTTACAAACAAATACTAAGAGACAAAAAAGTTTTCAAATAGATGTTGCAGTTTAGTGGCGTTCGATTTTTAATAACATTTTATATTACAAAAAGTTGAGTAGAGAAAGGGGCGGTGACACCCTCCAAAATCCTACAAAAATAAAAAAAATATATTGCCTCTACCTCGATTTTGTTAGTCATGGTATTCTAACACGGCATATAAAATTTCATGAGAAAATGTCAAACGGTTTAAAAGCAACGTTAAAAAAATTCATTTAAATTTTTATCTGTAACTATTTTTTGGTGCACTTTTGTATATAAGTAAGTACGGTTTATTCGACCTATTTTTGACCAAAGAATACGTGGCATAATTTATGACCAATCTTTTTGAAACACCCTGTATAAATATAATATACAGGGTGGCTCACGCTCAACGGGACGGAGCTTTATGGGAAAACGACCAAAGATATAAAAAATTCGTTTGGGAGGAATACGTAGGTTACAGACGGCTACAATTTAAAATTTGTTAGATGTATACAGGATGTCCCACATAAGAAAAAAAAAATTAGTTCATTAAAAATTATTCAAACAAGAGTAAACAATTAATTTCTGGAAGACTTTTTTTCCTTAAAAATTCAAATAAATCGAAAACTAATAATAATAGTAATAGGGAACCTTTAGTTAACTGACATTATTTTTGATGTAGTTTTTAATTCTAAAATAAAAAACAGGGTGTTCAATTAAAAATAATATAACTTTGTATATTTTCTCTTATGTGGGACATCCTGTATACATCTAACAAATTTTAAATTGTAGCCGTCTGTAACCTACGAATTCCTCCCAAACGAATTTTTTATATCTTTGGTTGTTTTCCCATAAAGCTCCGTCCCGTTGAGCGTGAGCCACCCTGTATAGTGATTTATTCAGAATAAACGAAATGTTCTACTTAGAAACATTTTTCGTCTTTGTTTATGGTACAATTTTAGGAGTCGGAATGGTTCCACGTGCCTAAGAGAGCATGCATATTTTTTATATTAATTTTTACTTTCCCCCAATTATACCACTCCCATTTTAAAATAGTATAATTGGGGGAAAGCATAAAATATATAAATGCCCTCTTAAGCATTGTACCATAAACAAAGATGGAAAATTTTCCTAGGTAGAAAATTTCGTTTATTTATAAGATAATGATAAATAATAGTTGAGTATAGGGTTGAAAGATCCCTCTTGGATTAAAAATTGACGTGTCATAGCAGTTCTCATATGTCTCTAAAATAAGGCTACAAAAGAATTGGTTTCCCGACTATGTAGGATAGAATTCTTTGGGCTAGAAAAACTTAAAAAACTTAATACATACAATTTTTTTTTTTTTTTTTCAAAAATATATAAATTAATATACAAATCAGAATCAGATTATTAAAATGATTGGGATAATATTTTGCATCAAATAATTTACCAGTTTGATTTTTTTTAGAGTGACGATGACCAGAAAACGGAAATTATCCGCAAAGCCTTCACCATGTTTGATACAGGCAAAACAGGATTCATCGAAACTATAAAAATCGCCACCATCTTGAACACAATAGGTCAACTTTTCGATGAAACGGCATTAAACGAATTAATTAGAAAGAATGACCCTGACAAAACTGGTCAAGTCAATTTTGACGGTTTCTTTGAAATTGTTTCCCCCTTCTTAGAGGAAGATCTTGATGAAGCGGAAACCCAACAAGAACTGAAAGAGGCTTTTAGGTAATTTTTACATGTTATTATTTCAGATTGTTGTAGTCTTACATCCATTTGCAAACAGTTCATTAAAATGTGTATAAATGTAATTAACTATTCATGATAAGTTTAAGAATGTGTGATGTGTCTAAATATCATGAGAAACAAATTACTAACCGCTTAAACATCTGTTAAAGTTTACAGCCTCAAATTTTAATGAATGTTTCTGCAACCAGCTTTGATTGTTTCAGTTTGTATCTTAGTAATTTTTTTGTTTCAGTTAATTAATGAGATTTTGTTACCTTTTAGGTTGTATGACAGAGAAGGAAACGGTTACATCACGACAGGAACGTTAAAGGAAATTTTAGCAGCTCTGGATGACAATCTTACAAGCAGAGACTTAGATGGAATCATTGCTGAAATTGATACTGATGGATCAGGAACTGTAGATTTTGATGGTAAACAAAAATCATATTTTACACACTGTGGTGATAAAGTAAGGAACAAAATTCATAATCGTGTTATTTAATGTTTTAAAGCAAAACGCTGACATGTCAATTATATTTTTTAATGTCATAAAATGACGTCATCATTGGTTTTTAAAATAACAACCTCATTTTTTGCTGTTTTTTGTTAGATGGTCCAACTACTTAAATGAGGGTGTAAAAAATTGAGACCCTAAATAACTATTTTTTTTGAGAAAATATCATACTTACCGTAAGAAATAAAAATGAAACCTTTATGGAAGACAATCATAATTAAACCTCAAAAACAAACAATATTTAGCGCAAACGTTCGAATTGCTCTTCTTCAACCATTTGGCACTGACCGACATGAGTGTAAACACTTTGTACACTTCGTTCAAGGACGTTAGGAGTAATATAATGTGCTCTACTTCAGCGCGAATTTTTTGACGTAAGTCGTCTAAATTATTTGGCCTATTAAACTATACTTTTAATTTTAAATAACCCCACAGAAAAAATCTAAGGGTGTTAAGTCTGGGAAACGCGGTAGCCACCCAATTTCTCCTCAACGTCTCATCCACCTTCCAGGAAATGTGGCCTCCAAGATATTGTCGGAAGTTTATTCCAAAGTTAGAAAGTGTCCCATCTTGTTGAAATCAAATAGGGTACATCTGATTCATGATTTTATGGAAACATTACTGCCAGAGATGACACTACATCAAACCGCAGAAAGTCCACATAACGGCTGCTGTAAGGTTTACTTAAAAAAAAATAAGGTCTTATTAAACGCCGTCCAATTATTCTAATCCAAACATTTAATTTCCCTTGATATTGACTATGAGAGTCCAGTGAGGATTTTCTCTTGACCAATACCTTCAATTGTGACGATGTAATGTTCCATTTAGGCAAAAAGTGGCTTAGTCAGAAAAGAGGGTAATATTTAAAAAATTGGCTAGTGGCGCAGCGATCTGGATTAACCTCGTTTAATTTGTGAATCAATTGAACTTTGTAAGGATGATTGTTCTCTTTCTTGAACAAATTCACTAGAAAAGAGTGGTCCACTTTGTTATTTAGAGTTAACTGCCTTGTAAGGATTTTTTTCAGCGTCAAATAACACATCTAATCTCGTTTACTCGTTTACTGGAGGTCGACCTTGCTGAGGCAAATCATGGTCGTTTCAATAAATTTGGCTACCAATTTACTTGCTGTGGATATTCCAATAGCCGGTCTATCAAGATGTTATTGGCTGAATAATTCACATGCTTCCTCATGTGTTCTTAGCTTCGCACCATATCCCAACCATTGTTAAAATTTCTATTCTTTCGCTATTAATTAAACGTGCCATTTTACAATCTCACTAAAATAAAGTGCTGTTTTTAAAAAGTTAAATTTAAACCATCAACATGATAACGATAATTTACACAAATAAGTTTTGTGTTTAACTCGCATCGTTCAGTGCCAAATGGTTGTCGGAGAACAATTTGAACATTTGCGCGAACTTTTGTTTGTTTTTTAGGTTTAATTAAGATTTTCTTTCATTAAATTATATTTTTCTTTCTTACGGTGTGTTATTTAAAAAAAATAGTTATTTAAGGTACCAAGTAGTTGGACCATTTAATAAAAAACAGCAAAATGGGGTTGCTATTAAAAAAAAAACAATGGTGACACCATTGTGCAGAAATACAAGACGTCAAGAGTAAAATATTTATATCATAAGGTGGCTAGTTAAAAAAAATTAACCTGCCCGAGCGTTTTGCTTGAAAACATTAAATAACGCAATTATGAATTTTGTTCCTTAATTTATCACCACACTGTATATATTAGTTTTAAATTTAAATAACTGATGGGACAACTCACACATATTACTACCAGATCTTTCTTAATTTCTTATTTCAAATAATTAAAATTCTGATTTAGACAAAAATAAGGTACAGCACAAGAGTCCATTTTAGGACAATTACGATTTATAATATTTATCAATATCGTTTGTAACTATAAATAACGTTAAATTTTTTACGGCACATATATTGTTACATAAGTTTTGGGGCTAAGTTTTCATCACTAACATTGAACCTTAATTAATCAAATCATATTTGCAAAAATATGTTGCTAGAAGTTTTTTAAATTAATTGACATTTCACATTTGGTCATAAGTTAGCACGATGCATGGATGGTGTACAAATTAAATATTCGAATTGAGTTGCCAAAACGATAAATTGTTAACATTTTTCTGGAGCGCAATACCTCCAAAGTAAGGGAATACCATCTGTATATGTAAGGAGAGGGTTGCCCCACAGTAATTAGATATCTCTAAACCCATTGTGCATCATCTTGGGGCCTCTCAGCTCCTCAAAAGCCCGCTAGTTGACAAGGCACCGAGAGGGAATGTTATGTTGAGAATGGGGTGTTAATACACTGCAACCTAAAAGATCTATTGTTCCCCCTTTGGTCGCCAATTTATCAAGGAAATGTCTCAATGCCTATAACGACCATTCCAATCCTATTTTCTCAAGGAAATGTAGGATTTGAAGTGGCTTCAAGTTAGGTAAATCTTCCTTTTCTATTTGATATCCTCCTAGATATAGTGCCCTTGGATTCTGGAGTGCTACACATTCAGTTAGGATATGAATGGAGGTTTCGTCCTTCTCCTCACAGAATCTGCACTCACTATCCTCTACTACTCTCAATTTACTTCGGTGTCCTTTTAGTCGGCAATGCCCGGTAAGGACCCCTGTTACAATACGTAGCCTGTTCTTGCTCAGGCAGATGCAGGCTTCCGATCTTTTCTAGTTATATTCACCCAGAAGAGATTGTTCCAATTATTGGTTCTTCTACTGCCCAATTCTTTTTTAATCTCTCCTAATATTAAGTTACTGCTGATACCGCGGAACGGCTCAGGTCCTATAAAGGGTGTTTGAGCCCCTTTTCTTGCAAGACTATCTGCAATCTCCTTACCCTGTACTCCGTTATGTCCCGGGACCCAAGTGAGAGTAACTCTATTTTTCTCGCCTAGCTCATTCAATTGTTCTAGGCATCTGTAGGCCATTTTTGGAGTGCTTGGTTCTCGGCCCATACACTCCTATTCCAGTTCCTTCTATGGTTTTGGAACCGTCCGTATACCACTGAATAGCACGTCTTTCGGTTGCAAGTGCGATGTATTCTTGGCTCCATTCTTTCTTGCAGCCCAGCGCTGCGGTTTTGAAGTTTTTCACAAAACTGTACTTCTTAAGCATTTTATCCTGGGACATGTCCCAGGTATCTTTAGTCCTGAAGCAAGTAGACTTCCGTCTGATTACTCCGTTCCTGATCATTCTATATCGTGTCCTTTTTGCCACATTCTCTATCATCAAATGTAGAGGAGTGAGGTTTAAGATCACCTCCATTGCGGCCGTAGGACAGGTTCTCATTGCACCAGTAATACAAACACAGGCTAGTCTTTGTACTTTTGAGATATTAGGTCTCGTAGTAGCTAAACTAGTTCTGTTACTCCAGGCTATAGCCCCGTAAGTAATGATTGGTCTCACTATTGCAGTATACATCAATCGCAGTATGTTTGGGTTACATCCCATCGTTTACCTGCAATGTTTCTGCATACCATTGGGGCTTTTGTGGCCTTATTTACTACTTCCTTCTCATGTGTGTTCCAGAGAAGTTTGTTGTCCAGGGTTAGGCCTAGATATTTGACTTCATTTTTTCATTCTATATCTATCCCGTCTAATTTAACGGTTTTGAGATTAAGTTGTCTTTTCCTTGAAAAGGTTACTAGTGTTGTTTTTGTAGTGTTTATACTAAGTCCCACTTCACGGCACCATCTTTTGGTATGTTCTAGTCCTCGTTGGACTATATTACACAGGATATTACTAAACTTGCCACTAGCAAATATGACTATGTCATCGGCATAACCTTGACAGGGTATGCCGAGGTCAGTCAATCTGCATAGAAGTTCGTCTACGATTAGGCTCCACATTAGTGGGGATAGAACTCCTCCTTGTGGACATTTTCTGGTTGTGCAGATGGAGATGTGTCCTGCCCTATCTGTGTCTCTGCAGTTCTCGTAGATAACAGCTGAGCCATCCATCTGGATGTGATGTTATCTACTCCTCTGTATGCAAGTGTTCTCTTTACAGATTCGTGTGGCGTGTTGTCAAAAGCTCCTTCTATGTCTAGGAAGGCACATACGACCGTTTCTTTGCTTGTCAGTGTATCCTGGATTACGCCAGTCAACTGTACCAGGGCAGTTTCTGTAGATCTTCCTGCTCGGTACGCGTGTTGGCTGTGGTGGAGTGGCACCCTCTCCAGGACTTCCGTTCTGATATAATTATCAACAGCCTTCTTCATTGTTTTTAATACAAAGGATGTGAGGCTGATTGGTCGAAACAATTTAGGATGTGTGGTATCCTTTTTCCCTACTTTTGGAATAAAGGTGATTCTGGCCCTTCTCCATGCTTTTGGTATATATTCCAGCTCCAGACTACTCCAGGATAGCCGGATTATGTGTGGTAGTAATTTCTCCTGTGCCTGCTTAAGCAGGGCAGTAAATATTCCATCCACACCTGGAGACTTAAACGGTTTAAAAGTGTTTACGGTCTACTTTAACCGATTTCTGCTGCATATGTGTTTGGCCACTACAGCGGCCTCTCTTGGGGGCCTGATTACCTTAGTTGTGTCTCTTATTAGAAAAGGTGTGCTTCCAGGAAAGTGAGTTTCGAGTAAGAGGCGAGCTCTTTCCTCCTCACTCTCCGTAAAGCTCTCATTTGGTTTCTTTAATGCCATAACTGTATCAACTCTCCCTTTTGCCAGGGTCCTGTGCAGTCTCGCTGCCGCAGGTGTAGAGTTAATATCATCGCAGAATTTTCTAAAGCTGTTACATTTAGCTTTCCTGATTTCTTTGTTGAAGGTAGTAAGCGCCTCGGTGTAGCTCTGCCAATCACCGCTGTGCTTGGCCCTATTATAGAGCTTCCGCACTTCGGATCGTAAGTTTGACAGATGACGGTTCCACCAAGGAGCATCCCTACTAGTTCTATTTCTTTGAATGGGGCAGCTTGATTCATATGCCTCAAGTATT